TATGCAAAAAAACTCCAGTTGGACCAGTCAAAAGTTAGTAAACCAACACAAACAAGCCAAATGTGCTGACATGCTCAATGAGTGCAACAAAAGCATCATCTTGCTCGCACATTAATTCTGCTCGTCATACGCACAGAAGGTTAGAGCAGCAATAATCATAGCCATACAAAATAAATACAAACTATATGCAATTAATCAAACGTAATCTGATGAATGTTAACTGTTGTGTTTGGCACCAGAGAAATATAAGTTGCTCAGTAGCCTCTGTTTCAATTTGTTACAGCAAAGCCTCCAATTGTTTAAAAGCTTTAACCTTTAAGTTTGGTTAAGACCGCAAAAATAAGAGTAAAAGACCTACTGACATGTGCATATGGATTAAGCACTACTAGTCACTTTAATAGTAACCAAGGGATTTTTATTGATTGGTTGTTCCCTGATACGGTTTCATCTCCGCTGAGGACATTGCAACAAAGAAACCCATAATTAAAGGAACATGCTGAAAATGGCTTTTTCTTTTTAAAGAGTATTACATAATAAAGCAGCAGGGGAAGATGGCCCCATGCTTGCTGACAGCAAATTAATATCTTCAGCATGAAAGATTAAATGTTGGCATTGTTAGTGGCATTTACAAGAACAAACTTGGAATAAATTTTACGCCCTCCACTTAAACTCATCAGTGAAAGCATAATGAAAAGCAGTTCAGTTAATTCTAACAAAAGTCTCAGTGAATCATTTTGTTGAAGTAATATCTGTACGTATTTAAGAAAAAACACAACTGAATGTAGCTAAAACTGAGACTAGAATGTTAGAACATTTAAGACTATGACTCCATCGCTGAGCCTGGTTCTGCCAGAAATGTCTTCCTGTTAAAAGGGAGTTTTTCCTTCCCACTATCACCAAGTGCTTGCACAAAGGAGATCATCACATTGAGGTTTAGAGTAGGTTTATATAGAATGATCTTAATGTTAACCTTGTAAATTTTTAATTTCTAGCTACATTTCTCTTGTCTTCACTCAAAATTTGAAAACAAAATGCCAGCACTGTATAAAACCTGACAAGTGAAGGGTATCGTTTTATACATTGACCAGAAATACATTGTTCTGCATTGTGTTACAGTCTTTTTACAGGCTTTCAGTAAAAGAAATCTTTTCCACCAGAAAAGATTGTTTCAGAAGGAAATTATAAACTTTTTAGTTCCATCAAAAAGAGATGCTTTTAAAAGATAATGTTTCTAAGATAAGAATGTCACAAGAGTGTACAGCTATGCTAGAGGCTCTCACTAAAGCTGTGCTTAGACACAATGGGGCTTTGCACTAAATGCTAATGTCAGCACATTATTTAAATTGCAACCAAAACACTGTAGCTACACAAGCACGGGAGCACGAGACTGTTTAAGATACTTCCTGATGGTAGTGATAACCTGCTTTACTGTTAATTATACTAGTAAAAATACTTTAAAATGTTCAATTGCACCTGTGGGAGAATACTGCAGGTAATTGTCTTGTGAATTCACTGCAAGCGAGTACTGTAGCTTTCATGTGTGCGGCCTGCATAGACTCTGATCAGGCCATAAACTCAACTAAATCACAGTTTCTCAGTAGTAAGAAAAGTACAAACGTCCTGCCTGTGCTCTTTGAGGAAGAAATTAATGTCTGTATCAATATTTTATGGTAATCTAATTGCTGATGCTATCAACTGTTGCTTAACTTATGGTGCTACAAATTAAAAGTCATGGGATCCAAACTGCGTGCTACGTCATCTCTTAGAAAGGTTTTACTGGAAGGTGACATATTAATTAAAGTTAGAGTCCTCCTTTGGACCTTTTTATATCCTTTATCTCCTGTTTATATATGTTGTGTATAATCTGTACTACTTGCACTCATTCTACTATCATGACTACAAAGTACTTATCAATGACTGTCTTATCAGTAGGTTTTATACTAGTTTACTACTAGGTTGCAAATTTTGCATTAATGATGTGTTTAATGCGTGAAAAATATTTTTTGCAGTCTGTGTGTATAAGTGTGTGTGCGTATGTATGAGCGTGGGCTTCATTGTACACACACATGCACAATGTTTATATGTGTTTGTCAGAGAAAGCTTTGTTTCTGGGTGTGTGTGGGGTGGGCGTGTTTGACTTCAAAGCACAGCAATTGAAACCTAAAACTTGGGAAAAGCTGACAAAACATACCGATCGCAGGTGGTTAATGGGATGGGAGAAATGACCAGTTGACCAGCATCATAGGTGACCCCATTCTGATGTGCCGTCCTCAGTGGCTGACCCCCATCTGCTAGATATTACTCCTATAAAACTCTTCTGTTTGTCCAACATATGTCAAGGATGGGTGGTCCTGAGATAACACGACACGGAGCCCTTATGTCAAGTTGCTGAATGACACTTTACCTAGTGTTCTCATAACACTGTCAAAGCAGTTCTAAAAGGGGGGGAAACGGCTGCTAGTGTTGCAACTACAGGCACAACCTGCTCATTTCTTCATGATGCCACTTAGATGCCAGTTTCTGGAAGGATGCAGGTCTTTGGCAGAAGGAACTTTTATCTCCTTTCAAACTGCCAATTGCACCGTCTCACACAGATGCCTCAAGAAGACACAAAAAAAGAAGAGTGTCAGAAAGAAATCTACGGTCTGGGAGCTAAGATGTGAAAGTTCCAGGTGTCAGGGGTGAGAGGTTGAAGGTCCTTGTAATGTGGGTGGTTCTGATGAAGCCCTGTTTGCAGTTAATGAGGGCTAAACAGACATGCTGATCGCCCCTTGTAATTCGCAGGGGACTAATCGCTGAATATTCCCTTTGACAAGAGAGATTACACAGAGCCCGAGGCCGGACAATAGAGATTTGCCATGTAATGTCTGTGCTATAGACAGGGGACACAAAAAAAGAGTGGATCAGACCATAGGAGAGAAGAATTAGAGGAAGGAGAGGCAAGGGGGGTGGATGTGACACTGGCCAAGAGGTGCCACCTTTGGAACAATGTGATGACGTGGGTGGAGGGTGGGGTGGGGGGGGACATAACAGCACCAACCTCAGAATCACATGGGTCAATTATGACCTTAAGGAACGGCCATATGTGTGAGGCATCTTGATTGGCAAACATGAAAAAAAGAATCCTCAGTTGTTCCCTTTTCAAGCAGTGCAGATTCCTTCAGCTCTACACAGTTTTACATCTTTTTTTTCTCAGCAAAAGAAAAAAGACAAACCCACTGCCTCTATCTTAGCAACATCAAAGAGCAGTAGCTACACTAAAATTTGATAAAGTCAAATGTTCTCTATAGACTATATATAAAAGATGAACATTGTCTCTGTGGCATAATCAATTGGAACGTCATATCGCATTAAGAAGCCTTGAAACTGAACATACTGGTGGTTTCTTTCTTTGTTTTTTCAAAGCCAAGGGTAATCTTAGAACTGTTATAAGAAGGTGGAGTGCTAACTTATCTGCTAATGCTAACAGGCCTCGCTAGCAAAGTAGATTCATACTATAGGTGCATCTCCTAGATATGGATACCTGCTAAGTAGTGTTACCTAACATAAAAATAAAATATTAAAATTTCACTCACCAAAAATAGAGTGCAAATGTCTTGAATGAGTAGAATAAATGACAGCAGAAAAAGGGTAAAGCTTAGCTTAAAGCTACCAAATAGGGCAGCCTGCATAGGTGCCCTACTGTGAGGATATATTCCTAATAATGCAAATGCTAAGCTTTAGAAAGAAAAAAAAATTAATAGCACTTTACTTCCTGGTATAAAATTTGGAATTTTAACATAAATGTCTGTAACACTTGTCTTGCTTTTGGCCTCGAAATGCAGAGTTATTGCTTAAGCTAATGGGGTTGCGACAAATATGACTTAAAGTCAAAGTTAATATTGCTCTGTGTGTGGAATGTGTCAATAGGCTGTTTTTGTGAGCATGTTTAGCATATAACCTTAATAAGGTGATCACAGACTGCATTTTCTTTTGTCACTTTTTTCCTACTTCCCCAAAGTAGCCACTAAAAAAAAATGCATGATTTATCAGGATCTACATAAAAAAGGAGAGAATTTCATCAAATAATTTGTTGCCTCATAAGTGTCTATCAGCCATTCGCTCCATGAATGTCAATTTTGCTCAGCAAGGAAAAACCCAACAGATGGATTTGGGTCTCAGTCTATCAAACACATGGAAAGCTCATATCTTGATGAGGTCGAGCTCACTTTAGTGGTTTCCAGTAATACAGATGACTTTCACAGGCAAAATTATTCCACACTAAAAGCAGCGTTCACTCCTACATGTGCAAATACACAGTATATACTTACGTTGGTGGTCTGTTAATATACATTACATTTGGACATTTACATAATACTGTGGCCAAATCCAGAGGTTTGGGTTTGTCATCATAGTTTTTAGATACAGCATAACCTTCTGTCTTTATAGAGTAATCTGAGATAGAAACCCATACTTCTGTCAATTCAGAAATTTCAAGCAAGTCGTGTTTCAAATACTAGCAATACTAGCAAATACTACATGTAAAGATATTAATTGTGTGCATAAAAGTGGAACAAATTAATGATGAAATGTTATCGTTAAATAGGAGAGAGACCTCAAGTGAGGGATAGATAAGAAAGGACGAGAGAAGACATGGAAGCTAATGCAGAAACAAAACAGAGGAGACACGGAGGCAATGTGAACACTTAGAAACATGATAAATGATATCAATTCTTATCAATCAAAGCAAGAACCAAAACTCTAGTACTTGACACTGCACCAGTAACCATGGCAGAAAATGATATGGTTTTTATACTGGTATATAGAAATCCAATGATATGAGAAAACATTATTATTGTTATTAACCATATCATAACATAATCACTGTTAACGCCACACTGTGGAGCCCTAATCTATGTGTACAGAAACATGGATTGCAACCAGTGTAGAATTAAGCCAGAATTTCATATTTAATTTAGCTTTTACAATTTTTTCATATAGAAATCTGTGCCAGTGGCTTTGTGATGCAGGGCCAACTCATAAGTGTCGTTGGTGAACTGCAGTAGCTACCTAATGCAGTATCAAAAGCCACAAACAACTCAAACAGTTGCTCTTTAGGCATTTTTTTAGAGTTTAGAGTGTCTAGCTTTATGTCTTCTGGTCAACATTATCTATAATGAAGTGCAATGTTTATCTCAGTGTAAAAGAAATGGGAATGGCTTTACTTTGACACTGCATGTCATTGCTCTGAAATGGCACACAATTGAAACTCTTAGATGCTGGTGTGATTGTGTACAGTGTGATGTCTCTGTTACCCACTTCAGGGCAATTTACTGCCATGAGTTACATCCACTTGTTCCCTTAAGAGGGAATAGTAACTTCAGATCAATACAAAGTCCTGAGCAATCATCTTTTTCCTGTGATGAATAACTTTGGTCCTGATGGGAGTGATTGCTTCTCCTGGATGAAAATTCCCGAAGGGTTATTAACAGGTTTGATGAGGCTGAAAATGATGTAACTCCTGTGTTTTGGCCTTTGAAATCACCAGATTTCAACAAGTCTGAGTACCTAAGGGAGATATTTGGACCAACAAGTTAGCACCAGATAGGGAACATCTTTTCACATTTATCATTCCATTCCACCAGCAGACTTCCAAGACTTCCACCAGTTGTTTTTCCTTTAATTTGTCACTTTGTATCCATACAAACAGTCTCAGCAGGGAGTGTTTGGCGGATTGTGAGCAATACCACGTGACAAAGGTCATGCGCAAAATAAGGGTAATAAGTCCAGACTTGCTATTTTTGACCTTGTGTTATTTACAGCGATCTGTTGCTTTAACTCATTTGTTTTCTCACCATTTGTTTTCTTCCTCAGCTTGACGTTCCTATATGTCAGTCATATTCGAGACCTGCGGTTTTCTGTTTTGCCAAAAACATCCTTTGGGGTTTGGCATGCATGTTGAAATGAAAGGATGCATGCAACATGTTGCAAGAGTCTGTGAAGAAGGACAGGATTTTCCTTGTTTTTCAACCCCCCCCTTCGCCATCCTTTAGAAGCTTGCGTGGACCACCAAAGATGTCAGCTCCAAACGCAAAGGAATTACAATCTCAGGGATGATGATGCGTGTTTCCGAGCCTCTCGTCATGTTTGTGTGCATTTACTTTTAAGCTGTACTCTGCATAACTTCACATACACTGAAAAAGAGCTCGACTCCCAAAGGCTCCATGGTCATGGGAATCTGAAGCTGCACATTGAATATAAACTCCCAGTGGCAGTCTGACGAGAGCCCTTTGGCTGAGAACATGTACAGTATAGTTTGCGAAAGTTGCAGGCCCTGTCATTGGAGGCGTTATCCCCTCTTTCTCTTTCTTACACACACACACACACACACACACAGTTTGTAGATGAAGTACAAGGTGCCAGGTTGGAAAGGGGGGCGGGCATGGATACACTGAAGATGTAAAGGTGAAGATCCTGACTGTGGTGCCTTGATTTAACAGCTGAAGTTTTGAAAGGCCAGTGCATATAAAAGCCTGCCATCAACACATATAATCTCTTAGCTGAGCCCATTGAAAGCTGGGTCCCAGGGGTTAATTCTCCCTTCACTCCATGTTTGAATCAATTCCTGACTCACATTGAGATGAAAGCCACAGAGTCCCAGGACCGAGCCCGGACTCCGAAGGCCCACTGATCCTGGACGACTGGAGTGGATTATTGCGTGTTCGTCTCGTCGGACCTCCATTGGGACAGGGAAACTGAAAAGAAAAACAATAATTAGAGATAATTGCTTGTGTCCAAACACAAGCATTAAAGCCCTCCTCCCTCCCATCTCCTTTCGTAGTATGTGAGGTGGAATGAAAGGGACACCCCCCTGTTTTGACAGCTGGGCAGGCGAACATAATTTGTGACAGCTGAACTGAAACGTCTTTAACCGCAGGGAGACAGAGAGAGAGACCGAGAGAGAGACAGAGAGGGAGAGAAGGATTTGGTTTGAGAAAGTAATGGTGGGAGAGGGAGATCAGACAGAGAGATCCTTTTCAGCAGAAAGGAAGATGTCAGAGAAGGGCAAAAAGAAAGAGAGAAAAGAATTAGAAGAAACTGATTGCTGTGTGGTGGGGTGGGATGAGCAAGATTAAAAGAGGGGAAATGGTCCCAGAGTAGGACGAGTTAACATCAAATACAAGTGTTACAGAATAGAATATTAAAACAACAGGGCTCGGGTGAACATGGTGTCATACCAGGTCTGACACATTGGGTTAATTTGCTGCTCCCTGGAGGTGACCCCTGAACTTCAGGGACACGGGGGTCACAGAGACCTCAGAGCGAGACAGGCAAAATCATGTCAGTCTGAGAAGCCGGGTCATGGGTCACCTCTGATATTCTGGGTATATAGGCCAAAACAAGGACCATATGTGGATGGAAACACATTTGAAACAAAAATAAGTCATGAATTTCCATCTTCACTCATAACTGGTCACTTGCTTTCTTTCTGTTATTTTTCTCCTCCCCCTCTTCTCCCCTCCTGCCCCAAACATCTCGACCCACCGCAGACTTTCTGCCCTAATTCAATAAAGTCATAAATACCAGCGTAACGGCAAATTGACATAATGTTGGCTGTATGCCCTTTAAATTGTCAGTGACAGAAGTTTTCCCAGAGGTGAAATATTAATACAAACACAGGATTTCTTTTCCAAAATACCCAGCTCCCAAATTCTCCTATGTTTACTTTTCTCCTTGGTCCTAATTTCTGTTAGTGTGAAATGTTATACTTACTGTTGTATTTACTGACAGGGGAGGGACAGAAACCCAGGACCTGGGAATGTGATCTTTATGGCTCAGATTGCTTGGCCAAATAAGTGACTCTCTGTGCTTTCATTTTCACTTCATATAGAAAGTTTGAGCCCGTCTTCCAGCTTCCCTAAAGTATTACGTTACAAAAAAAAGAACCTGTGCATTCTGTTGAGTGTCTAAAAGTGCTGCAATTCATGAGGGAAAAGGGCCAAAACATTTTCATTTAAGAACGATGTTGAGGATCACCCCTAGGAACGGGAATTGATAAGAATTTAGCGATTAAATTCCATTATCGATATTACTTGTCGATTTGATTCCTTATCAGTTCTTTTATTCATTCTCATTGGGTTCTCACTAGCTCCGCTTTGAGAGTTATCACCATCACTAAGTAGCATATCAAAGCATTACATTGGTGCAAATTACTTGCGCACTGTGTGCTCAAATGTTTGTGCATGTTGGATGTATTTCCTCTCTCTGTTGTGATCAGTGTTGGGTCATTTCTCAAAGTAATCTATTACACATATCACACAGAAAACCTTTAAGTACGGTAATTAATTAGCCCAAGGAGAAAACCAGCAGTCAGACACTTCAGGGCGATCACAAACACAAACCTCAACAGGTAGAAACGAAGGATACAGCCTGACTGCTTATCTTTTTGTTACCTGATGAAGTTCAGCAGCGGCGAGCTTCACCACAACTCACAAATGCTCACTTGACAGTGTAATTGGCATTTACTCAGCTTTAGCATCACTCTAGGTTTTTGGCTAGCTTAGCATTTACATGCTGTCAGCACTCTTGTTTCAACAGAAGTTAATTTTAAAAAAATTGCATTTAATACAGAAGTCCAGTTATTCTGTAAGGGGGAATTGTGTAATCCTTTATGTAATGTTTTTTTTTTTTTTTTAAATATTTGTATACCAACTGCGACCTTATCATGGTGGAGGGGCTTATGGGTCTCAACACCTATGTTGCTGTTAGGGTCTCCCATAGCAAACTGGTCCTGGTGAGACAGACAAAGAGTGATTCAAACACCCCTATGAATGAAAAGTTCACCCTGCCTGGGAAAGGGTTACCGGTGCCCCACCCTGGAGCCAGGCCAGGAGAGGAAGCCCGAGGACGAGCACCTGGTGGCCGTGTCTTAGTCCTTGGGTCCCGGCAGGGCACAGCCCAAAAAAGGGACATGGGCATCCTCCTATAGGCCCAACATTTACTGGGTGACTGCAGAGGTGGAGACCCTTGCGGACCCCTGGATGCACTGGTTACTGAAACTAGCGATTGGGACATGGAACGTCACCTCTCTGGTGGGGAAGGAGCCTGAGCTAGACCTAGTAAATACTAGCTTATTTTCTACATTACAACTCCCAGTTCTATCACTATATATTCAGAGAAAAGGTGTAGCTGGATTATTGTAGCTCTTGTCTAAATGTCTACTTTTAAAGTAAAAGTGAATCAGTGAATACAAAGTGCAGATTCAATCTGGTTTCTCCATTTTTGTATTTGAGAATAATAATGTGAAGTGTTGGAGCCACTGGGAGAAAATATTACTTTTATTTTTAACCTTACAAACGACAAGTTCTGTTATACTGGTCAGTATTTGAGTCACTGAAACATCTACCCCGAGACAACTGTCTAAATATTTACATTTCTATAGCAATGAAGCATAGCATTGTAATCAATCAATTCGTATCTGTATCCAAGCAAACAAAAACAAAGAGTATTAATAGCATGAAGGGAAAGAAAACAAAAATAACATTAAAAAAAACAATTACAAAGTTTGGAAGTCAAAAAAAATGGAAGTCATTTTTTAACACTAAAACATTTACATTCTACATATTATCCCCAAAAATATAGGATAATAAACTGTTAACATTCCACTGTAAATGAGTAAACACGTGATAAAGATCTTCCAAATATATATTTTTAAAAGGACTTCATGATGTCAACTAACTCAAGATTTAACTAAAGTCGTTATTATCTTGTAAAGGGATATGGGGATTTGAAAATAAAGGAAAAAGAAAAGAAGTTTCTCTGGCTTCTACAATGGACCTTTCCTTCTCACACAAATCCCTGGGAGTTCATTTTGTGATACAACCACATTTTAACACACAGGACTTGTCTGCCTCCATTTATCTATGATAGCCACTATAAAATATCCCACATCTGGCATCACAATTACTAATGCAATCGTGTCATTTTAAAACCTCTGACTTGTGGAAGCAATATAAAATATAAAAATCTTATAAGGACTGCTAAAGCCAAAATTTGATCAAATGCAAAATTAAACAGTGTCCATAAGTGTAATCTCGGGACTCTTTTCCTTCACCACATGATGTGATGTCCTCCTGCTCTCGAAGACGGCACATGTGATTGCACTCAGAACAGAGTCACATCCAGTGCGGTTGGCCTCATAACATATACGGCAATTTTCAATAAGGCAGCAAATGACCTCGCCGTGCTCTCCCCCAATGAGCTGAACACCTGCTCTCTGAGGTAAGTCAAAGAGGGAGATGGGATTCATGAGAGAGCAAAAGAGAGAACAGGGGTAGAAGGTTAAACACACAGGGGGGAGGATGGCAGTATGTGGCTTACAGTCAATAAAAAATAGCTTGAATATCAAAGTGGATCTAAAGAAGTATGTGTGTATGTGTGTTCTGGGTGCGGTGTTAGCAATTTAGCTGGTTTTTTTCATACCTCCAGTATAACTGGAGATACCTGTACAGCTCGTTTGTGTGTTCATATGGTGCAGCTTAAAAGTGGACTGTGTGTTTCTGAGCCCAGCTCCACACAAGGATGAGTAAGTAAAAATGGGTTATTATGCTGAGGAGATCTGCAGATGATTTCCTGTGGGCAGACTGTTTATCGGATCTCCTTGAGGCTCATCCCCATGTAAACTTGCGTGTACGTGTGTGTGTGTGTGTGTGTGTGTGTGTGTGTGTGTGTGTGTGTGTGTGTGTGTGAATGAATACGAGTAAGAAGAAGTTTGCTCTCCCTGTATCTAAAGGATACAATTAGCTGTAGCTTTGCATTTTTCATCTCCATCACCACGAAAATGTAGCTGAAACTGATGAAACAGTCAGACCTGTGCAGTCCTTCTGTCTCTGTGGGTGCATGTGAGTTCACTGCATGTGTGTCTGTAAACTTCATGCACAGACACAGATCTGCTCGCCGGGTGGTGACACTGCTGGCGAGCGAACTAAAAACTGCAAACGACAAGAGCTGGAACAACAGGAAGATAATTCAGATTTGATTGGTTTCACGTGTTCTTCATAAACAACAAAAGTTTTTTCCTGCGCCTCCAGCGTGTTTTTTTTCCTGCAAACATGGAATCCATTTGTCCCTCCGTCTCCATGCCCTGTAGTTGCCCAGGCTCTTACGCACACACGCGCACAAACATACACACAGACACACACACACATGAAACATGCTCAGAGTGAAATGAAAGCAGGCACAGAGTCAGCCCACCACTGTGGCACTGGAATCTTTTGATATACTGTCAGGAACTTATTTTGAAAACAGCCACTTTCAACTGCTAAAAATAATCACGGGGGACTCTGAGATGAAAATGTGAATGAGGTTTGCCAGCTCTTGCTCTCCAGTCAAAATAATAAGAAATGATCTGTCGGACGCTTGTGTACTTTAGTGCCATGTTAGTGAAAAAGCTTGCTTGAATGCATCCAGTTTCTGCACTTCTTTGTGAGTGACATTTTAAAGGGAACGTCCACTAAAATACAAGGCAACATACTTTTAATTTACTTCAGGAGTAAAACCGTTACAGAGGGGTTTGGATTTCTTTAAAATTGAATCAAATTGCGAGATTTGCTTTTGGAGCTCTCATACACATAAAAAATATGCTGAAAAGTGTCAGTAGCCATGTTCAGCTATAATATGAAAAATAGGGGAAATACATCTGTAATACAGGGGTGTAAAACTCATTTTACATTGTAGTGATCACTTTGATCTTAAA